CCCGGCCCACGGCGTCCCGCAGGCCAGCCGCTGCTGAAACTGACCAGGGGCTGACTACAGGAAGCCTGAGGCAGAGTTGCTCTGCCTCGGGCTTCCTGGAATCAGCTGCTGATCAATTTCAGCAGCAGCTGACTTGGGGACGCTTGGGGTTCTTAAGTTGATTCTGTATGTAAGTCAGAACTTGCGGTCAGTTTCAGCAGTGGCTGAATCTGGACGCCAGTTCCGACTTACATACAGATTCAACTTAAGAACAAACCTACAGTCCCTATCTTGTACGTAACCCGGGGACTGCCTGTACTCTGAAATAGTTTAGAGACTAGAAGGACTGAAAATGGAGACAAGAACTGAATGCAAAGAGCCTGCCTCTGTTCTGCCCCGTTTGGTCTTTCATGCGCACCCAGACACAATGAGCACGTAACAGAGGAATACAGAATTCTGGTTTAATAGTGTGTTACACTCACTTTGCACAGTTGTAACTACACAAAGCCTAAGGCAAGAAAATGTGTTGTGTCCTATTTATTTTCTGCCATCTGTGCTTTGTTCACCTTTTGCTCCTATCTCACATGATGGAATTTAGCCAGTTTCATTGTGTTTATAGCCGGTTTCACTTTCAGGTTGCTGCAACCTTTGGCTTGCAAGCATTGCTGGGAAATGTTTGTTTGTTTTAAATACAGCTACTCCTCCCAGAACTTGTTTAAAATACAAATATTGTGGAGAGATTTCTGTTGGCTTTAGCTTTTATCAAAGCTTGTTTATCCAATAAAAATGTTGGGGACAAATTTGAATTGACAGTATTTAAAGGTTGTATTTGTACTTGCAGGCTCAATATACAACTAACTACACACAACACAACTCTCCTTCAATGCTGTCTGAGACTGACACAATTAAGAGTGCCATTTTTTAGAAGTACACGTATGGAAAATTCTGCAAAAGTCTTTACTTGCAACAGCATGAGCTCTTATACACCACCCTAAAGAAGTCAAATGGGCCAGTGCCATGTTCTTTTCACATGTGGGACCTATTTTTCCGCGCACACACACACACACACACACAGGATGCAGAGTGTGAACAGTCTGAGCTCGTGTACAGCAGTGGAACTCAATGGAAAGCGACTTGGAACAGTCCCAGGGCCAAAGCGGCCTGTGAGCAGAATGAGACCCCATGGCAGGGATCCACCCGGTGCTTTTCTGGCCAGGGCGGCCATGGCCCAGCTAACAGGACTGGGGCCTCTGCTGCCAGGGCTTTGGGGACGTGCACGTGGGTCCCTGCCACGAGGCGCTCACAGCCCGGAGCGAGGGGCGGGCGGGGGCCAGGCTGCAGGACCCTGGTGGGGCAGCCGGGGGGGGCTATTTTGGTTTGCTGTTTCTGCTGGATTTG